AGAATTCCATTAGCATTTACAAGGTGGCAGAACATAATGAAACTAGAGCACAAGCTTTAAGGGAAAACAAGAAAGGACCAAATGCAGCAAAGCAGAAAAATCTAAGATTCCTAAGAACATTTGGTGGCAGAGAAAACTCCAATAGCTTACAAGAAATGGTATTGAAGGTATGAGAGCAAACAGAAGTATGCACTGTTGCACTGGAGGGGATTTCTTACTAGTAACTGTTCAAAAAGCTTCCCTGCCCAGAGCCTGGAATATTGTTCTGTAAGCAGGATCCTTGAACTCATGTAGATGTGATACCTAAATTTACAGCGAGGGATTTCAGAGAAACATGGTCACGTAAGAATTGGGCTGGTATGGCTAGTAGGCTAATTCTTGCAGTAGTAAAAATATATAAATATCATTAAAAGGAGGTGTTTATAATTATGTCCAAAACAGGGCTGAACATAAGGGGTGGCATTCAGCTAATTTACACAGTAAGCATCTCCATAGAAGCTAGTCACTAGAGTCTTTCCTTACAGTTATAGAGAAGAAAGTGTCTCTGTAGGTGCGTCTGACCTGCTTGAACTGTCTACTTTAAAATGAGTTGTACACTAGTAACACATGTTCCTCTCTATTAACTGTAAGCCTAATTGAGACTTAACATTTTGTCACACAGCACAGAAAATTGCCAAAATTATGCCAGTTGCAAATATTGTTTGGCCTGCCTATGATATATCTAGTCCTCATAACAGCTTCTAAAGGACTGCTATGTTTTAGAATAGATTATAGGCAAATTACTATGTGATCTACACCTAAAGTTTTGAAGAAAGAGATGGTAAATGGGACACACCATGAGGACCTATATATGGAAAAAATATTAAAGTTCTCAGTAGATCTGCATTATAATGCCTTCAAATGAAAGCAGATATAGAAGAAAAACTCAAAGAATGCAAAATATTAAAAGAAATCAAAATTTATCAAACAAAACAGTCTGAGATGTTCATCCAAGAAACATTAGATTCATGGTCTAGCATAGTCATAAATTACTTCTTCTTTCCTGGAAAAAATATGTATTGTTTTTGGAATACTGTCTTTAATATACCAAAATAGTACGATTAGAAAATATGAGTGTTGAACATGTGATTTCCAATAACAAGAACATATATTTACCAGAATAGCATATCAGTTGTGACAATGACAAAAGAGCACTGCCATTTGGTGGTCTGGAACTTATACATATAACAAGTTAATCAGGATTTCAGGCACAATACTGCAAATAGGTACAATGTAATGGGCTGTGAAAAATGATGTAAACTGATAGCAAAGGTGAGTCTAAAAACTGCATAACCAAATTCAGATCCTCATTTGGCATATGTGATTTACAGTCTTGAAGTCTGGACTGCCATCTGCTGAAACACTGTTCAGTAGGAAGCTTAGGCTTAATAGGACTCAATTTTCATTACTAAACCGTGACTTTTACCCTATTTCTTTCTTCTAACCCTTGGTGCCTTGTGTCCCACTGATAGTATCATTACAACTGTGAGTAAATTTCAGACTTTCTCCCTTTCTGTCCCTTGATTCCCCAGGTCAGTGTTAGTCTCCCCTCTGCTCATCCTCTGTGATTTCAGCAGTTTCTTTCCTTGTGATTTACCTGTTATAGTTTTACAGCCAGGCTCAACCACTGGACCACATTGCAGCCTTGAAAATTAGGCAATATAGAGTCCGCTATTGTCCTATTGCCATAGGACAATATACACTCAGCAACTGTCAAGCAAGTTAGAGTCCTTATGTTTGCAAGACCACAATATGGGCGTAGGTGGTACATATGCCCACAATATAGGCATAATCAGCAAGGTGAGGATGTACATTGTTATCATCTTTGCTGAGCAAGCAGGATTGATGAAAAAAACATGTCACCTATGTAGCACCTTCCATAGAAAGAGGACACAAGAAGACTTGCAGGCTTTGTAAACACCAAGATCCAAAACAGAAGAGGCTGACGGGAAATTGGTGGGTTGCATAGCATCAGTGGAGATTTAAATTCATTAAGTGCTCTGAACCGCGGTTGTCATTTCAGATTCAAAGGGAGGATTGCTGAGATGTGATTTGATTCACTTGCAGTGGGTGTTTATCCTTCAGAAATGGTGTGGTAGGAGGATAGCTGACCCTTCCGAGATGGATTGCATTTATGTGTCCCAACACATCCCTGCACACAGCAGAGTACTGCAGGAAGGAGCAGGAGCCTGGCTCTGTGGGCTGTGGTTTTTGGGGGACTGCAGTTCCTGCTCAGCATTGCACCTCCAAGGCACTCTTCTGGGCTGCATTCATGCAATTCCTGCAACTGGGGGTTCAGAACACATTCCCTGCTTGGATTTGCCCTCAAAATTTTTCACGGTAACTTGTGATCTCCAGTCTCACCTTCTCACTCTGTTTTTACTTTTTTTTGTCCTGCATGATCTGTTGCTTTTATGGGTGGGCTCTCACTTGGAGCAGTGGGGCTTGCAGCATGGGCTGTGCCACACAGAGCACTTGAGCACGCAGCACCACTTGTCTGTTAATGCCAACATTTGGGGTTTTTAGTGACCAAGGAAAAACCCTTTCACTCCTGTGAGACTCCTTTTCTTGCTTATCAAATGCATGGGTGCGATCACCTGAACATCACCTGCATTGAGTTTGTTTCATGGGGAAGGAAAAGAGGAGCGAGAGCCGTAGCCCCTCGCTCTATGGAGCACCGATACCCTCTAGTGGTAAAGCCGCAGGCATTTTCAGGCAAAAGATGACGATTTCGCTGCTAACTTATCTTCTGTCTTCCTCTTCGACAAAAATCTGCACATCACCTTTAATCGACAGTGCTGTTCTGTTAAATGATATCGTAAAGTCACGCCTTTAGTTTAAGTAGCTGATGATGTAATTTCCTTGGAGTGGTTTCAGTGTGTTTCACCTTTCATTAAATCATTTAAATGGTACTTGTGAGCTGATGGGTGGCTGAATTTTCACATAGTGTAAAGAAATGTCTGTAATGGAAAGCATCAAATAGCAGCAGCTGAAGGCTTTAAGTGGAGAATTAGTGATGGTACCGCTGTAATGTGGCAGATCATAGGTGGTTTATAGCTAATCAAAGGAATCATGTTGTCCTTGTTGAGTTCTCACCAGCTTGCTCATGGAGGTGCAGGGCAGCTGGATCATGGGTCTTGGGAAGCCAGTGAGCCACTGGCTTCATAATTGCAAGGTGGGGACAGCAAGGTATGGCGTGAGAAAGCAAGCTTGAGGGGACAGCAGGAACATCACAGAATCGCTAAGTTAACTGCCAAATGTCTTGAGCAGTGGGAGTGTGGTTATAGGTAGATGGCAAAAGACACATTCTGGACCCAAAGGCTGTTTCCTACCAACCACATGACCCATGCTCTAGAGCATGGCTGGTGTGTAGGAAAAGGTGAAACTTGTCAAAGAAATCCAGAACTATTTACCATGAGCAAACACATTTATTTCTGTTCTAACCTTGCTCGAAATGGCTGATCTGAACTTTTCCTGGCATAAGCAACTTCAGTCTGAACAGCTAATGTTAGGAAAGCCACAGCAAAGTAATCCTTCAGGGTTTGCTGTGAGGTGTTTCACTGTTGCCTGTTCCTTGCCTGGAGGGTGCTAGTTGATGCTGTTTGGAGGAAATTCCCTGCCCAAAAGGCAGCAGGAGCTATCTGGAGCTCACCTTTCTCCTTTTATTCCAGCTGCAAAAGTGTTGCAAATTCTCAGAACATGGTCCCTTAGCCCTATGTTTCCTCATACACAAAGGAAACAAAACCCCAAGACAGGTTAGAGGACACGTGTCTCTGAGCTCGCCGCCTCCACACTGTGGGCTGTGGACTCTGCTCATTTCACCCAATGAAACAAAGTAAAGTTTTATTCAGCAAGAAATGAAATCACACTTTAGGTATCAGATTGAAATTCAAAACAGGTAGTACACACAAAACACAGTTTGATTCTTAACAAGCTTTTTTTCCCTGGATGATTTCAGTACCTAAAGCCTATCATTTCTTTGATGTACCCTACCTATGAAAGTAAAGGATCCAGAGCTTTTATGGAGACATCCTTCCAATTTATTCACTAAGCTCTGAAATATTTCCATGGCCACCTGCCCCTCTGTTCCTGTGGGTAAGGTTTTGGGAGCACATTAAAATGCCCATGATCTGGGTACATGCAGTACCAGAATATAAGCTTCCGCCACTCTGCTTCACAGTAATCACTTGTGAGACTCCCTTGATTTTTCTTACCTCTTTATGTATAAAAGATTTTGAATAGCTTGATCCTGGGAATAGTTTTACAAAGTAGATCAATGTAACTTTAGATTGGACTGAATTGGATTTACCGGCTGTGGGAGTTAAATTTTCAGTCAAATCTCTGTCTTCTGGAGCCTCCCAGACAGATAATAGCACAGGGGCAGTGATTTATCACGCACTGCATTTACTGGAGAGCAGAAATTTACCGTCTCTATTGTTTCTCTTTCAAACCTTTTCATCTTTTCATCTGCATAGAAATAAGTGCAAAAAAGAAAAGGAAAGTGAAACGCAGTGCAGTTTTCAAGGGAGAGTTTGTCCTGGTGCTGCATTGTAGTGAAGTGTTTACTGCTTCTCAGGTCTCAGGGTGTGCCAAGTAGATTCATTCCACTGAAACTGCAGTGCCATTTTGTGAAGCACACAGCATATCAGCTTGGAATAGACCTCCTGAGCATTACGGTCCTCTGCCATACCATACAATCCCTTCCCAAAATGCAGTATCACCCATTTCCTTTCTGAAGAATGCAAACAAGTTAAGTAATGCATGTCTGTCCCAGAAGCATTCTTATTTAGGATCTTGCCATGATTTCTTGATTGCCAGACCCAGCCTGTCCAGGTTGAGAACCCTTGATCTTCATGAGAGCCCCCCTCACTGCTCACGGATGGGAAGTAGCCATCCCCTGAAGCTCTCCACCCAGATTGTTAAAGGCAAAATGTTCAGTGCAAATACAGAGAGCGGTAACAATGCTGTGTTTTTTCTTTTTATTTCATTCCAGGTTTCTGATTGTCTTGGGGTGTTTGATCTTAGCTGTCCTGACAACTTTCAAGGAGTATGAAACTGTTTCAGGAGACTGGCTCCTCTTGCTGGTAAGTGGACTGGCTGCTGCATCACCCTGGTAATGTCCTTGAATTGAAATCAGCCCCATCAGCAGTGGTGGAAACTTACTCCCAGCTCTGCATGCAATAGGATTTCTTCTGTTGGTCCTGGAGTAGTGACCGTACACTTACACATTGGAAAGTTCCCAGGCCACTGTCAACACCAACCGAGTAAAAGGGAAGTAAGGAAAGAGGAAGAATTCTAGCCTGAGACTTTTAAATAATGACTTTTCAGCATTTGCCTAACACTTCTACCATCAAAGTATCAATACATTTCCTAATGACCATGCCAGACCTGAGCACATTTGAAAACTCTTTTTTTGGGGATCATTCAACAAGTTTGATTCATTCTATAGTGTTCTACCAGTCCCAGCATTTCTTTCAAGGGAGGTCATCAGAATTGGACTCATGCTTGTGCCCAATAGCAGCATAACTGAAATTGTTGCGGGCAGTGCCTCCGATGACTATCCATGAGAGAACATGTATTTGCAGCCAATATATTCCTTTCTCTGTGTTTCCAGCATGCTTGTTTTATAAATGCTGGAGTTCATGGTCAAGACTGTATTTCTGTAGGCCTCCCATTTGGCAGAATAAAAAAATAGGGAAAATACCCTCCTTAAGTATAAACATGATGTATTAATCATTTTATGCAAATGACCCTAACAGAGAACTTCCTCTGTTCCCCTAGCTGTCGTGAAATAGAGAACACAACCTCTCACTTAACATGGCCTTGTAGAAAAGCATCCCTAGGGAAACTGCTCAGCAGAAGTAGTTCTGGGATCTCAATTTCCATTTCCCCTTGTACCCCCAGAGACATGTAGATCCGAGCAAGAACTAAATGCCAAAAGGAATGAAAGGTGAATTCCCCTTGCATGTTCCTTCCCAAAAAACGCCTGTATGAAAACACCCTCATCCCTTAGGGAATGTGAAACTTGCTTTTGGTCCCTGTTACCCTGCTTAGACCCATCTTTTCACATTTGAAAAAGCCTGAGGTTATTTTTCCTTCTCCTGTGCTTGCTTTTATGTGGCGCTCGGTGGTTTTCAGAAATGCCTAGCAGCTGTGGGTATGAGCATCAGGAAAAATCCCCCTTTCCTCCTTGCCAGCTATTCACAGAGAGGAAAAGTAACTGCGTGCCCCATGCTGCCCTTGGCCCATCTCCGCTGAGCACCTCAGAGAAGGTCTCTCCTCCCCATTCCCTCCCCATGCTTAGAAGAGTTCTTGAGCAAGGTGGAAAAGCCCATTCTTCCATGCACCAGAAATTTAAGGGAATAATATGTGCCTTAAATTTGTCTCATATATGCCTTTGTCATTGCCTTAAATTTATGACCATATGAATATACCGTACCCTGTCCCTGTCTCTATAGATATGGCTGCATGAACGAGCTGCTGGTGGGTAACCCCGGGTGTGGGTATATAGTGCACTGGGGACTTTGCAGTCAGCACTCACATATGTCTTCTCATTTTGTGTGAAACAGGAGGTCTTTTTGTGAAGTAATTGCCCTTCCGTTAAGGCAGGGTAAGCACTTCATATTTACCCAACAGCAGGGACGCATCCTTTCTGCAGAATACTTACCAGGCTGTAAAGCTATGTCCTACTTTGCCTTGCCTCTTTCATAAACCTATATTCTCCTCCCCACTTTTTTTCTCTCTCTGTCTCTCACACACATA